GGGAGGATCCCACATGCCGCGGAGCGGCTGGGCCCGTGAGCCATGGCCGCTGAGCCTGCGCGTCCGGAGCCTGTGCTCCGCAACGGGAGAGGCCACAGCAGTGAGAGGCCCGCGTACCGCAAAAAAAAAAAAAGATGAACAAAACAGAGTCCCTGCCCTCCAGGAGCTCACAGAAATACAAATGTTTGCCACTTTACAGTTTACAAAACACTTTCACCGTACATCATCTCTTGTAGACCCCAGACCTCATACTGAGATGGAGGGGAGGGTCACGTGAGCCCTTCCGCAGATGGGAACAGCTGAGTTCTGGAGAGTTGGTGACTCGCTCCAGAGCACTCAGCTACTAAGTGGCAGGAAAGCAACTGCAGCGAGTCCAAGAAGCTGTTTGGTGGGGCTGTTTCATTTTACTCTGTCTTTCTGCCTCTTGTCTCTCCCACAAGCAGAAGCCACAGCACAGTGGCAACTGGTATCCAAGATCTGTTCCAAGCTAGCTCCTGAAGGCAAGAGGGAGGGCCAGCCAGGGAGAAGAGGCTGCTGCGCCCACCACCCCACCCCCAGGCCCCCAGCCACTTCCGGCTCACAGGCCCCGCAGGTTCCTGGTAATGGTGCCACCCAGTGTTGTCAAAATAGCGAGCAGCTGGAAAGAATTCCAGAATGAAATCTATGTGCCTCTGCAGCTTCCTAAATGGCTGCAACTGTGGCAGCTAAACCCGCTAATGTGCTAAGCATTTTCTGGCAGGGCCAGGAGGCAGGGCTGGTATTTTGGGAGCTGGGAGGGCCTTGGAGGCATCATCCTCGGCAAGTCCTGGAAGGAGGTGGAGGCAAGGAGAACCAACCCAGAACACTTCCCATGAAGTCACCGAGGGCCACCGGGGCTGCACTTCAGAATTCCTGGAGCGCTGCTGGCGGGCAGAGAGGGTGCTTGGCCTGGTGGGCAGGGCCAGCCGGGCGCAGAGCCCTCACAGGGCGGTGGGGGGAGGGCTCTAGGATGCAGGTGACGGTGGATGCTTTTTCTGCTGACACAGAGCAGTGTGTGATGCTGTCCGCAATGCCGGGCAGCCTGGGCCCGGCCCTATCTCTGTTTGCCTCTGAGTTGGCAGGGGCAGGGCCCATGGTGAACAAACAAAGGACAAGAAGCCAATGCCCAGGGCAAGCCGGCAAGACTCCCTGAGAGGGGTCTGAGGATAAGGGCATTCCGCGTGGTCAGGGCATTGGAACACAGTCGGGGCAACAGGAACTTTCATACGTGGGGCCCTCTGATTTCCCAGGCACATCCGAGCCCCTCAAGCATTTGCTTCTCATGGTGCCCTTGTTTTTGAGTGCTCTTTTAAAAACATGAGACCAGGAAAAGGAGTAAACCCCCAAAGCTGGATCAAAACTAAGTCCTGGCGTTCCTTTGTCCCTGATGTGCTTGAGTCCACATTTCTTGCAGAAACCAGAGGGTTCTGACAGAGTGAAGAGGCAGGTGTTGGGCATCAGAAGGTAGAGATGGTAAAGAATTCTTTCTTGAGGCATTGGTGACAGGAAGCAGTATGAGGACAAAGCAGGGCTGCTCAGGTGAGGGAGACATGAGTCAATCTGGGAACACAGAAGCCAGTAAAACCCTGACAGGATTCAGTCTGGGGGGAAAAAATCCGGACTGATAGAAACTGCTGAGAGCTTGCAGCTTTTAAAGCCCTCCTAGCAAATGGATCTTTGGAAGCTTTGCAAACCCTGACCGCACAGCCAGTCAGCCGCAGCCCGGCCCAGAGCGCTGAGTGTTTTTGCTAAATCAGAACAAACCCCCTCATAAATATCTCGTCCTGACCTCCCCCTGGCACCCATTCCTTTCCTGTCTATGTGCCTGCCTTCCTCGGAAGTGAAGTTGTCTCAGAGCCCAGGGGGAGAGTGCCGCAGAGGCCGAGGGGAGCTAGGGGAGCAGACTGCAATCTCAGCTCCGTTACTCACTAGCCGCTGACCCTGGGCGAGGCATTTAGCCTTTACAAGTCTCATTTTTTAATCTGCAAAAGTGGAGATAAAGAAACTGCGATTGTAGAGTCGGTGGGAGAACTGAGATCAAGCACAGAGCCAGGGTGCTCCATGAGGGCTGGTCCCCTTCCTCGCAGAGCCTCCAGCACCATATTCAATGGGGGGAGGATGCAGATCCGTGAGAGTTTAATTAAAAAGTTGGGGAGACAAAAGCATTCTTATATAAAACAACCAGTCATGAGTTTAATAGAATCCCCTCTAAAACGGTACCCCTGCCCCACCCCACCCACCATCCCCATAGTGTTTCAGCTGGTAGATGTATTTTAGCAGGGCCACTGCTTACAACTCTATGTGGGTGCCATCCATGTTCTATTCTATGAGCCCTGAAGGGAGCACCATTCAATAGACTAGCGTTTGAACAGTGACCCCAAGGGCGGGCAAAGTTGCAGCCCTACTAAAGCACTTTTTTAGTGTCACCACCTTCAGGAAGCCTTTCCTGAGGCTTCCCACAGCCTCTTCCTTCTTGCAATGCCAAAAGCAGTTCATCTGTACTTCCCTTATGGAGCTCATTAAACTCTGCCTTTATAATTCTTGGGGTGTGTTCATGTGTGTGACTCCAGCAAGAGTTGGATCTGACCTTTACATTCCCTGCAGCACCTAGTATAATACTAATTCATTTTGTGAGGCCAGCATTAACCTGGTACCCTAACTAGTCAAAGGCATTATCAAATTTTTTTTAATTTTTAGAAACCTTAACCCTTACCTCACACCATATATAAAAATCAACTCAATATGGATCATACAGCTAAATATAAGAGCTAAAACTATCAAACTTCTAGAAAAAAATGTGGAAGAAAATCTTTGTGACTTTGGGTTAAGCAAAGATTTCTTAGGACACAAAGAGCATAAGCCATTAAATTAAAAAAATTGATATATTGGACTTGATCAAAATTTTAAATGCCTGCTCTTTAAAAAGGCACTAATATGAAAATAAAAACACAAGCCACAGACTTGGAGCAGATATTTGCAAAACATAAATCTGATAAAGGTTACGTAGTCAGAATATATAAAGAACTCTTAAAGCTTAATAAGAAGAAGACAAATGACCCAATTTTTTTTAATGGCCAAAAGAACTGAATAGACATTTCACAAAAGAAGTAATATAGATAGCCAAAAAGCCTGTGAAAAATGTTCAACATCATTAGTCATCAGGAAAATGCAATTAAAATCACAATGAGCTATCACTAAACATCTATTATAATGGCTAAAACTAAAAAGACTGACAATGCCATGCACTGGCAAGGATATAGAATAACTGGAACTCTCATGTACTGCTGGTGGGAATGCACCACTTTGGAAAGCACTTTAACAGTTCTTATAAAATTAAATATACACTTGTGACCCAGCAATCCCACTCCTAGGCATTTGCTCAAGAGAAATGAAAACGTATGTCCACACAAAGACCTATATATATGAATGTTCATAGCAGCTTTATTCATAATGGCCCAGACTTGGAAACAACCTAAGTGTTCGTCAATTTGTAAATGAATACGCAAGTGCTGATACATCCATACAATGGAATGCATCCATACATGCAATAACTTGGATGAATCTTAAGTGCACGGTATTAGTTTCCTCTTCCTACTATAATGAATTATCACAAGCTTAGTGGCTTAAAACACTACACATTTAGGGCTTCCCTGGTGGTGCAGTGGTTGAGAGTCCGCCTGCCGATGCAGGGGACGTGGGTTCGTGCCCCGGTCCGCGAAGATCCCACATGCCGCGGAGCGGCTGGGCCCGTGAGCCATGGCCGCTGAGCCTGCGCTTCCGGAGCCTGTGCTCCGCAACAGGAGAGGCCGCATCAGTGAGAGGCCCGCGTACCGCAAAAAAAATAAATAATAATGGCCGTACCTCGTGACCCAGCATTTCCTCTTCTAGGAATTTGTTACAAGAAAATAAACAAGTAGGCAGTGAGGTCTCAGGGCCCACCGTGTTTCTTATAATAGAGAAATCTAGAAATCCCCAAATGCCCATCGCTAGGGTCAGTTAAATAAGGCAGCATCTGTGGAAGATCACAAAGCTGTCAACGTCATTTAAGGAAGAAGCCATGAGGAAATGTTCCGGCAAGACATTGAAAAATCAATATTGTGATACCCATCTTGTGTTTTGTCTTCATTTTTTGAAAAGTGAATATGTACTGAAAACAGTCTTGGAGGGCAAATCCTAAAACGCTGGAAATCCGGGTGGTGGGATTGTGGGTGGGGTTTTGGTTTGTACTTTTGTGTCTGTTTCAAGGTGGTGGGGTTTTGTTTTGTTTTCTTTTGAAGTTAGTTTTTGCTTTGAATGTTTATGATTTTTGTAATGGGGGGGGGGATCAAATTAAGGTTAATTGCTTTAAAAAGGAATTTAGATGGGTTGTCTCCAGGAAGGAGAACTAGGGGGCTGTGTGCTGAGGTAGGAGGGGTTTTTGAAGAGCGCACTTTTTGGTGCTGTTAAATTTTGAAAAAATTTAAATTTTGACTATCCCGCCAAATAATCATATAAAATTAAACAGAAAAGGGGGAGGAATTTAGCTGAGGTCCTGGTGGGTTTGGTTGTATAGAGGTGCCTGTCACACCTGGTGCCTGGGGAGGCCCGCACCCCCTGTGCTGGGTGGTCCCGGGAGGAATGACGCAGGGCAGCCGCCCAGGGTGGGGTGAGCATCGGGGCTGCTCGGCAGGCCAGGCGGGCCCACGTCACAGTCCCCGTGATGATCCTGGGCAGAGGGGCACTAGCGTTGGGCGTCAGACCCCGACCGGGGCCCAGCTGGTGTTCAGCCCATGCAGGAGACACTGCCAGCCTCAGGGGCTTACAGCCAAGAGGCCCACGCTGGAGACAACAGCAAGAAACAGGAACCATAGCAAGAAAGGCAATGGCCAATAATGGAGCCCTCAGGGCCTGCAGAGTACGAGATCCTGCCCCAGGTGCTTCACAGTCATTATCTCAGTGGCTCCTGCCATCCCTGTGAAGCAGGTGAGAGGCAAAGTCCCTCTCTCAAGTAACACAGCTGCAGAGTGCCTCCAAGCTTCTGTTTTCTCTTCTGTGAGACAAGTGCACTTGAAGCTGAGGTGTGGACACACCAAAGGGCTGAGCCATATGGTCCTGAAGCATGTGCTAAACCATGAGTGATGGACCCACCTTAGGTCAGGTCTTCAAGACCAACGAAAAGTAGAAAATAGAGACCCTAACTGAACCAAGTGACACCCCCTGCCCCCATACATACCTCAGTTCATTCAGCCAAGGTCTAAAAGGGGCCTTTTCCAGAAGGGTATGGAACTTGCCCATGGTCGCACAGCACGTTGGCACAGATCTGGGACTAGAACCCACATCCCCTCACCTCCACCTACGTGCAGGGGCACTCACTCCCTGCCCTGGTGTTACAGCCACCTCCACTTCTGACTTCCCCCCTGTTCCAGCCAACAAGAAGTACTTTTATTGTTTTTTAATTATTATTTTTTTAACATCTTTATTGGAGTATAATTGCTCTACAATGGTGTGTTAGTTTCTGCTTTAT